GTAAGACCCCATCTATACTAAAAATAGAAAAATAGCTGGGCCTTGTGGTAGATGCCTGAAGTCCCTGCTACTTGGGAGGCTGAGGCAGGAGGATCGCTTGAGCCCAGGAACATGAGGTTGCTGTGAGTCAGGTTGCTGCCGTTGTGCTCTAACCTAGGGGAACAGAGTGAGACTGTTTCAAAAAATAAGGGCGGGGGGGGGGGGAGTGGGATGGGGAAGAAAGATAATTTAAGAGAAAGCAAGCAAGACTTAAGCAGTGGCCTGCAGAATGAAAGGATATTGTCGGGAAGGGGAAAATGATTCCATGTGGTAATGGGCAAGACTTCTAGTAGACAATGCTCTTAAGGCAGGGCACAGTCGTGGTAGGAAATTGGTCATTCTGGCTCATTGTTAGGAAGAATTTTCTGGTCATTTGCCATTAGCTTAAAATTTTACAAACCTGACAGAAATTTTCATGTTTTAAAAAAAGATCACCTATTGTGAATGATAATTCTATAGTTGTGTTGATCCAGATAAGTCCTTTGAAGTAGAAGTCCCACATCGCTTTTTTTCAGTGTTGAATCTTGCAATTTATGCACATCCTCTACAGGGAAACACTGTGTGACCAGGGGACACGTTTTAAGGAGCCTTTTAGAACCTAGGAGGGTAAATGTTACACACTCGTGTGTTAAAGCACTGTTGAGTCCTTCACCATCCTTGATTTCATTTTCACGATGGCTGGAGCAGAGTGCTTAAAAAGGGTAAATGGCAAACCGCTGAACAGGAACAGACCACAAGAGCAGGGCTCATGCAGTTAATTAGTCATCTTTTGTCAGCAGGGGCCCTGCAGAGGCAAGAGCAGTCAGCTCCGAGGGAACTGGAAAGATGAGTTTCTGGCATGGATATGGATCTTTATATTGTGGTTAACAATAGTTTATTCTTCAAATCAGGGAAATGAGAGGCAATCCTGTGGGTGCTAAAAAGAATGGCCTTTGGAGAAGCAGGCAGGCATTTGAAGTGGGGTGAGATTCAGCTTTTTCATGAAGCTTGCAAACACACCCTTGATTAGAATGGTTCCAGGCAGGCCTTTTATAAGTCAACAGCTTCTTTCTTTGTGATTTCTTTCATCTTGATCTGTTTTTCAGCTTCCTCATGTGGAGAGGGGGCTAGTGCCTTTTAGAACACTTTCCTCCAGAAGTGGTTGCTGGGACATGAGGGTTCCCAGGGGGAGAGTGGTCCCAGTTCCCTATGTGCCTGCTGTTCTTTACCACTGGGTCTAACTCGGCTCTGCTGAATGGTGCCAAACATCTTATTGGACCCTGGTAGAATAGACAGGGTGGTACTACCCCAGCTCATCACTGCAACTTAGTGACAAGTGCGTGCATGTCCACAGAGTCATCTTTGTGTTAGCAGGGCTGTTTCCCCAGAAAGAGCGGGAACCGGCATATTGTGGAAAGAACCCCATAGTGAGAGGCTTGGGTCTGATCCCAGTTCACTATACATTAAACGGTGATTTCGGGGACATCTACTAGTCTCTGACTCAGACTCTTCATTTGTAAAATAGCAATAATATCTCCCCTTCCAGCAGAGAGACTAAAACAATGCGTGGTGTGAGTCTACCAGAAAAAGCATAAATTGCTATGTAAGCTTATGGAGCTTCCTTTTACTAGTTTATATTCTGGCCATCAGAAGTTTGGTTTCTTGTACATTTTATTTTTTATTTAAAAACTGGAGATACTATATAGACTTTTAAAAAATAGCTGATAAAAAGTTTCAAAGATAGCACGTAGTGTTTTTTCCTCTTTTAGAAATACTTTTTCATTAATTTATTATTGTTGTTATTTTCTTTTTTATTACTTCCCTTTTCTAGACCTTACTAACAATGAATAAAGCTGTAACAAACCTGGACTTCTGATCTAAAGTGTAGTTCTTTTGCTGAATTCATGAAATGAGTTTGGGTTGATGTTAAGGGTTTCAGGGCTAAATCCCACTCCTCATTTTACAGCGAGGATACTGAGGCTGAGCGAGGGAGTAGCAGTGCCAGGGCTGAAGCTCGGGTCTCCTCTCCCAGGCTCCTTGTTCCCACTTGTACAATGTGCTGCCTTCTTCATGATTTGCTTAACTAAGTGAAGGGGGTTAGAAAATTATTGCTAAATTCGGCTATTTCTGTGTTTAACAAGAGTGCTGTTTAATTGTCTAAGGCTGAAGTCTAGGGTTCCCATCTAAATCTTCTTCAGTGAGATACTGGATTAAACTAAGCACCTACACATACAGGAATGTAGTTAACTTCAGAGAACTGAAGACATCATGTTCCTTATTACTAGAGAGTGTTGGATCCAGGATTACAAAACCTGAGCAGGTTTCAGTTCTGCTCACTCACTTTAGTCAAGAAAAACACATTTAATGTCTTTGAGTTGGTACTCGCTGTTCATAAGGTGAGTTGGATGACAACAGGACATCCACGGCCCCTGCTCGGACTTTAGCTGGACGATCTGTGAAACCCAAAGACAGAGAATAGGGTAGGTGTGGAGGGATCATGTTTTCTTTTTATTCCCTGAGTACTTTGCATTAATTAACTACTTTTCTCATGTTGTTCCTCAATCTGGAAATTCTTCTATAACAGTTGATTCTATTTCTGTCCTAAAGCCGTCTGCCTTTATTCTTTAGGCCCCAGGTTGTATTTCACTTCCTCTGTGACATCACTGTAGAACTCACCATGTCTCCTTTTCTGAGTTCTCTTATTGCCCTCACGTTATCACCATGGTACACTGGTGTGGAATATGTCTTCCTTTACACCCCATCTCTATGGAATAGAAATAGAACATAGAAGAGAAAGACAGACTAAGTAGATAAATAGACTGATCTGTGTGATCTTAGGCTAGCCACTTAATATATATATATATATGTGTGTGTGTGTGTGTGTGTGTATACATATCTATTTAATTTTGAAGTATGAATAGGTAGATTTTTTTTTGCAAAACTTAATAAAAATGGGGGAGATCCAATGAAAAGTCTACCCCCATCTCCCATCAAACATATTTTCTCTTCATAGTTACTGGTTTCTTATGTATCCCTCTAGAATTGCATATTTTATTTTATTTTATTTTTTTACACAAAAGATGGCATAGTATACATATTCTTAAGGACCTTGTTTTTTTTTCCCCACTTAATTTGCCTTGGAGATTTTTCGTGTCAGTGCATAGTGTGCTTCCTCATGGTTTTTCAGGTTTTATGATTATGTCATAATTTAACCAGTGGTTGGGAATTTCTACTTGAGTCAAGTCCAAAATGATTTTAAAATCTGAATGACTTTTGAGCCGATATGAGAAATACGATCTTCATTTCTGTAATTATTCCATAGGACTTTATGTTCTTGAAATTGATCTTCACAAAACCTGTTTGGATTAGATAATTACCATGTAGATTTTACTAAGTAAATAAAGAAAATATCTATTTAGTATTTTGCTGACTGTGATGCAGGATTCTTCAATAAAAGCCCCGCCGTACTCTTTGTATGTGCTCTACTGGCAAATACAGGGTGTGCTTGAGAAACACAGCCTGCTTTGTAGAGGCTTATAAAAGTCTTCATTACTGCATTTATAACCATTTGTGAATTTACTTCCTTAACTTACTTCCTTAAAACCAGTAAAGCATGTAGAAAAGGATCTCCACATAAATGAAGCTTTGAGAAACAAAACAAATTTAGAAAAAAGAAATGCAGAATTTTCAATAAACATTTTTAATCCTGAAAAAATTCTAACTAAAATACCTACGCAGAAAAAGGAGCTTATTTAATGAAAGTACTTATTGAGGTGACTGTGGTTCCTTAAGTAATTACATATTCGGGGCTGAGCATAGCATTGTGATTTGACCTGTTCAGAATGCACAAATGAAATGGAAAGGTCTTAAGCTTTATTTTTAAATTTTCATTTAACATAAAGCAGGACCAGCCCTGAGGGTAACCCAAACTGCTAATTCAGCTACTCCACCTGGAAGTTGAAGTGTGCATTTGGGTTACTGAAGGACCATAGCCTCCTATATATACATGCTATGGAATGCAAGTTTTCTATAAATATTTTCAAGGATTTTGGTGATTCCAGAGATATTTTTGCTATTTTGTTTTTTTTTTTTTTTTCTATTTCTAAACTCGGCCCTTGATTTCTTTCTCTTAACGTTCTTTTATACTCATGCAGAAACTTAGCCTATGGTTATAGCATTTCAGTCGGACTTGAACACTTAGAGATGACTAATTTGTATTTGGTATATTTGCATAGTAATATGTCCCTTTCCATTGAATAAATGAGAAGACTGAAGCCCTGTGAGGCTGTGATTTGTCCAAAACCCCTGGCTTCTGCTACCCAGTACCAGGTTCTTTCTCTAAATAGCTCTTCTAATTGGCTGACTCTGCCCTACTTGGGGAACAAGTTTTTTTTTTTTTTGAGACAGAGCCTCAAGCTATTCCCCTGGGTAGAGTGCTGTGGCATCACAGCTCACAGCAACCTCCAACTCCTGGGCTCAAGCGAGTCTCCTGCCTCAGCCTCCCAAGTAGCTGGGACCACAGGCGCCCGCCACAACGCTCGGCTATTTTTTGGTTGCAGCCGTCATTGTCGTTTTGGCGGACCCAGGCTGGATTCGAACCCGCCACCTTAGGTGTATGTGGCTGGTGCCTTAGCCACTTGAGCCACAGGCACCGAGCCTGGGGAACAAGTTTTAATTTTGAACACATTCTCTTGCTTTTTCCTCCATTTCTTCCAAATGTGGGCCAGTTAATAAAAGAGCACAGGAATATGATGGGCACAGATCTTGCATGAAGCCTGCCTAATATAATAAAGATTTGTTTAAAGTGAGCCAAAACTGGGGTGGGAATGAGAGAGAATAATGGGTTACAAGTGGGGGTTGGCATCTGAGTAGTCCTCACCCTGCGTTTGCTACCCAGGCAGAGCCCAGCAAGTTGTGTTTAGTCAGTGAGTGTCACGTGCTGGTAGTGGGCACCTTTAACCTACTCTCTTTCCCACCTGCAGGTCCTTTCACATAATCTGTGCACGGTGCTGAAGGTTCCACATGACCCGGTTGCCCTTGAAGAGCACTTCAGGGATGACGATGAGGGGCCTGTCTCTAATCAGGGCTACATGCCGTATCTAAACAAGTTCATTTTGGAAAAGGTACGATGCTAACCTTTTATGGCTTACAGCATTGTTTGATTTGTGTGTTTTAAGTGAGCCCCTTTAATTCACTGAGGAGTTGAGATGTGAAGCATCAAGGAGGTAAATGAGGCTCGTGCCTGTAATCCCAGCACTTTGGGAGGCTGAAGGGGGAACATAGCTTCAGGTCAGGAATTCAAGGCCAGCCTGGCCAACATAGTGAAACCCTATCTCTAAAAGAAATAAAAATAAAAAAATTAGCCAGGCATGGTGATGTATGCCTATAGTCCCAGCTGTCTGGGAGGTTGAGGCGGGAGAATGACTTGAGCCCAGGAGATTGAGGCTGCAGTGAGCTATGATTGCTCCACTGCACTCTAACCTGGGTGACAGACTGAGATCCCATCTCTTAAAGAAAAAAAAAGAGAGATAAATCAGAAAGGAAAAGGAAGAAAGGTCGAGAGACTGATGATATGTCCTCTTTCTCCCTCTCTTTCTCTTGGTTTGAGATTTTTCCAACTTGGTTCATTCTTTGAAACTAAGAGCTATGCTTTAGTTTCCGTACCTGTCCTCTCTCAGGGTGCCTTAAAGAAAATCTCTTTCCACATTTACTGGGAGCAGTTAAGCATGGGTGTAATGGAGTAAAATGTGAATACAAAAGTATTCATAATAAATTGTCTTGTTGTATAGATACAATACAGCAAACTTTTCAACCTGGACTTTTCAGGGTACCCCCTGGATACTTCCTGTGGGGTATGTTCTAAGTAAGGATGCTATAAAAACCTATCAAGTATATTTGAAAGCCAAATATAACCCATCGGTGTTTGCTGCCATGCCCACTTTTCCCCTAGGGTTGGATAATTAAAAATTGATACAAAAACTGTTGAATTGAATGCATAAAAAAAGAAAATAATCTAAATTGATGGTACATTTAAATAGTTTAAAAAACTCATGACTAGGTTGGGTGCCGTGGCTCATGCCTATAATCCTAACATTCTGGGAGGCTGAAGTGGATAGAGCAGTTGCTTCAGTTCAGTAGTTTGAGGCAAGCCTGAGCAAGAGTGAGACCCCGTCTCTAAAAACAAAAAACAACAAACAAACAAACAAACAATAGATAAAGTTGTTAGACAACTTAGATAGTTAGACAACAAACAATAGATAAAGTTGGGCTTAGTCTTAGCTATTCTGGAGGCTGAGGCAGGAGGACCTTGTGAGCCCAGGAGTTTGAGGTCGCATTGAGCTATGATAATACCCCTGCACTCTATAGGGGCAACAGGACAAGATTCTGACTGAAAAAAAGAATTCTGTTAATAGAATATTATGGCAAATTCTTAGAAATCTGGAAATTGTTTTTTAGTGCTAGAGTTTGTGTGGGCTGACCCAGTAGATGGAGAAAGGAGGTTTAATGTAATAAAGATGCTATACCCTACTGCTGCATTTTTTCTCGGTGTAACATTCTTCAAACTGCTTGAATTTTAAGTTTCCGAATGTTCTTTATTTTAGTATTTAGATATTTAAAATTTTTCTAACTGCAGGAGAAAATACAGTAGTATTTAAAAAGTCCAAAGTGAGCTATTAAATTTGGAGGAAAAGTTATTTGGGGAAAGAGTGAGGATGTGTTGAGACAGTGAGCCCTTGTTTATCATTGCTTAGCCACCTGGAGTGGAATCGTGCCAGTCCTGCAATTCAAGTAAGGCAGCCGAGGTTTCCATGGTGTGGGTTTAAATTGAGCAAAGATTAGTGCTTTGTTTTGGAACTTGGTTAGAAAAAAAATAAAATGCCAATAGTGACTTAAGAATGTTGACATAAGGCTTAGAGATTGTCATCAGTTATGCAAACAGAATATAAAATAATGCTTAAACATTTGCAGGCTGTGCTATCATGTATACATACTGTCTCATTTGATTAGATATTAATCCTACGAGACTACGGTTGCCACGGGGTTGATAGATTTTGAACCTAAGCCATTTAACTTCTCCATCATGTTTCTTTAACTGTACTATTGGGAGATTAATTACTCCCTTTTGGAATGATGTTTTTTTCAGTTATTTGTTTGGACAGGAGGAGGAAATGCTGGTGAAGGCAGGGATAGAGTTGCTTACAAGCCATTCTGATGATCTCATACTAGCTCAGCTTCCATCCATTTCTCTCCGGCTCTTCCTTGAGATGATTCTTGTAGTGTGTAGTGTTGCTTAGAGTTCTTTTTGGTCAGTTTTTCTCCCCCGTGTTGTTTTTGGGGTTTTCTGTCTTAGCCTGGGAGAATTCTAAAGCGATTGGGGCCAAGAGATAACTTACTTTCCAAAAAGTAATTTTTGGAATTCTGCCCAGGATCACCCCATTCACTCTCCCTCCACATTGACCATCTTGGAATGCAAATAAGGAACCATTTCACACTAGGATGGCTATAATTTAAAAAACAAAAAATAACAAGTGTTGGTAAGGATGTGGAAAAATTTGAACCCTTGTGCATTGCTGGTGGGGATGTAAAATAATGCCTCTTCTGTAGAAAAGTTTGGTGGTTCATCAGAAAATTAAACCTGTAACTACTGTTTTCTGGGTATGGTGGCTCACACCTGTAAACCTAGAACTCTGGGAGGCTGAGGTGGGAGTATCTCAGGAGTTTAAGAGTTTGAGATAAGCCTGGGCAAGAGTGAGATCCCATTTTTACTAAAAATAAAAAAAAATTAACCAGGAAAAAAAAAACAACAAAATAATTTTTACATTTGGTTTCTATATTTACTTCTTTATAGATAATCGTTCCTGTTGCTCTTCACATTGATAGAATTTATTTTCAGATTTTCAGCTTTCCTGAGACTTCAAATCATTAACCTGCTGTTCTTTTACCAATTATTTTGCCCCACCGGGGCGTTAACTTTTTTTGTTTGTTAAATTCATCTTCAGTACTAGAATGGAATTCTATAAACATCTGGGAAAACTTTTGTAGGCTTTTTTTTTTCCTTGACAAAGAGACCCTGTACCTGGATTGTTCAACAGTGAATAATTGAAGAAAGTGGTATATTATTACCTTTTTACTATTCAGTCCCAATCAACTACATCAAAAACTAGTTCTGCTTCAGCATATCTCCGAGGCAGTCTGGTTCTTTCGTGAAATTTAATGGCTGATTAATTCTGCTGGTTCAAATCATTGTCAGTTCTTTTCCCTGATGGTTCTATTAAGGATTGGTGTGGGCTATATGATTAAAAGCAATAATCCCTTGGCCACATGCCAAGTTCTAATTGGGCGAATCTCCTGCTTTCCAACAGAAGCCTTTTTGTTTTTGGTTTTTTGGAAACATATATCCACACAAGAGAAAAATACAAAGAAACAGTTCAGTTCAGTATGTGTCTCCGCTAGAGATTAGCTGCCACTGTGTCTTATTTTTCTAGTGTGACATTTAAGCTCCCTCCCCCTTTCTTGCTGTTTATATGTCAGTTACAATTCTTTATGCATAAAGTGTGGTTTCACATATCTTGTGTTAGTTAAATAACTATGCCCTCAGCACTTAAAACACTTCAAATGTGTGCCAAACATCATTTAGTAGCAAGTGGTACTGCTCTGAAACACTCAGCCCCAGGCTTCTGCATGGTTCGTTCTTGTTTCCTTATAGCTCATGGTATTTTTTCTTTCTTTGTTGTTTGGAAGCTGTATAGTTTTATTTTTTAATTTTATTTATTTATTTATTTATTTTTGAGACAGAGCCTCAAGCTGTCCCCCTGGGTAGAGTGCCATGGCATCAC